CCATTGGGCTGCAGGGTTCCCAAGCGGAATATGAGTTGCTGTTCCTGCAACCTTCGGGTGGCATCGTTGTGGCTCTGCAGGAGGCCCAGGATGGACATGTCGTCTGAGGAATGGGAGGGGGAGTTGAAATGGTTCGCGACTGGGAGGTGCAGTTGTTTGTTGCGAACCGAGCGTAGGTGTTCTGCAAAGCGGTCCCCGAGTCTCCGCTTGGTTTCCCCGATGTAGAGGAAGCCACACCGGGTACAGCGGATGCAGTATACCACATTGGCAGATCGCGACTGGGAGGTGCAGTTGTTTATTGCGAACCGAGCGTAGGTGTTCTGCAAAGCGGTCCCCGAGTCTCCGCTTGGTTTCTCTGATGTAGAGGAAGCCACACCGGCTACAGCATGTTTCCATGCTGGACAACGCTTATGAGTTTACCTGTTGTACAAAGAATAAAGAATAAAGTAAAGTAGCAAGACGAATTGTAGTGTCCTATTGCAATCCCTAAACTGGGAGAAGGTAATCCAGCATAGACCAGAGATTGATATTCGAGCTTCCTGGTTTGTATGACTCTTAGAATCAAGATCCTAACTGGCCTTTGGGTAAAGTGGTTCTCTGTGATAATGCACTAGACTACAATGATCAATATTAACATGCATCATTAATGGTTTCATCACTAAGTGAAAACAAAGACGTAACAAACACCTGTATCTTTATGTGGGTCAGCTTAATAGAGTAGGTTAAAGAGACTGATCAGAAACTTACCTTTCACTTTTTGGTTTTCCACCCGCTTCTAGAAGGACTGAAATAGTTGTGCAGTATCGCATGGAAACACTAACCCATGTTTCATTCTGTGTTTCTAAATACCAAAACAATAATATCATCTGATTGTTTTCAGCTCGTTGAAATGTTAGATTTCATTGATCCTCATTATTAAATTGTTTCAATGCACAGATATTGATGAGTGTGCCCAAAGTAAACACTACTGTCGAGAGAATACCATCTGTGTGAACGGCGCTGGGTCCTACATCTGTATCTGCAAAACGGGTTATATTAAGGTTGATGACTACTCCTGTACAGGTAAGAATTTTGTTAATAAAGTGAAATAATCAAGGGACAGTGTGACATTATCATTGTATTTGTATCTAAAGGCCCAGACGAGTACTCCGAGAAAGTCGGTTCAAATCCTACCATGGCTTCAGGAGGCAATGGCATTTTGACATTATTGCTAGACTATTAATCCAGAGACCCAGATAATGCTCTGGGGACCTGGTTTTGAATGCTGGAATTTGACTTCAATAAAAATTTGGAATTAGGAGTCTAATGACGACCCTGTCAATTGTCAATTGTCAGGAAAAACCCACCTGGTTCATTAATGTTCTTTAGGGAAGGAAACTGCCATCCTTACCTGGTCTGGTCTACATGTGACTCTAGACCCACAGCAATGTGGTTGATTCTGAACTGCCCTCTGAGCAATTAGGGATGGGCAATAAATGCTGGGCTAGCCAGTGACAGCTAAATCCCATGGATGAATTTAAAAAAAACAATTCAGTTCGTAAAATCTGAAATTAAAATATCGTCGCAGGACAGTGACCATAAAACTAGCATCAGCTGTCACTAAATGAAAGTCTTGTGGTTTGCTAATGCCCTTTTGGGAAGGATATCTGCCATCCTTACTTGTGACATTAAAGAAGCATATGGATGACCCTTTAAAATATCATGGCATAGGTGGCTATGGAGCAAGTGTGGGTAAATGGGATTAGTGTATATTGGTATTTGTTGGTTGGCATAGACACGGTAGACCAAAAGGCCTGTTTTCTATGTTGTATGACTCTATGACTTTGTGACACAAGGCTCCACCTCCACAGTAATGAGGTTGAGATCTTCAGTGTCCACTGAAATGTAAGCCACTCAGTTCAAGAGTAATTAGGGATGGGCAGAAAATGCTGAGCTTTCAATGCCATGAAAGAATAAGTGTAAGAAGACCAACAGTTTGAAAAAATCTTTTAATGCGCATCTTCTTCTTAATACTTTGACTTTATTGTCCAACACAACAACATTCTAGCTAACGTTCTGAAACTTTTGCATCATCACAGAATAGAATGATAGAATCCTGCAGCTCAAGACACTGCCATTCCCATTATTTTGTTGACTTTGTAAGAACTGTGCAATAAATCCCAGATAATGAACCAGTCCTGATATTTCAAAACATAGAGATGCTGACAGGAGGTGTAAGGTAATGACTATTGCCAATGCTCAATACTTCTGACCAGTTAATGATCGCACATCCTCGGGAATAACGTACACTTTGGGTGCAAGCAAGAAATGGGTAGTTGCACGTCATTTTGTCAGCTTGCATCTGAATGGTATTACCAGAATTTATAAAATATGTTGTTAGGGCACATAGTCAGGTCAGGTGGGAGCTCTATGTTGACAAAATATTTATCAACACGATTCCTAATCATGCATAGTCAATCGGAGGTCATTCTGTTGAGAGGAATAGAAAAAAGTTTTCATTGAAAGGTCAGGAATGTCCTGACTCCAGTTATATTGGCCCCTGTAGAAGAAATCAATGATTAATAAAATTTCTCACCCACTCCAGGCAGGAAAACAAGGCAATTTGTCCCCTCGTACGCATGAGTTAAATAATGTTTCCTTTATATTAAATTGTGAGGAGGGCCCAGGACTGTATGACTGCATCATTAAATCTTGTAGCACAATCATGTTGGGGATGGGGCAAAACCACAATAAATATGCTCATATTTCCAGAGGAATGTAGGAACAGGAGTAGGCCATTCAGCCCCTCAGGCCTGTTTCACCATTTAGTGAGATCATGGCTGATCACTGGCATAACTCTGCGTACTTGTCTTTGGTTATTATCCCTTAATAACTTTGATTAACAAAAAAATTATCTATGCCAAATTTAAAATTAACAACTGATCCAGCATCCACTGCCATTTGTGGAAGAAATTTACAAACATCTACCACCCTTTGTATGTCTAAGTCCCTCCTAACATCTCTCCTGAATGGCCTGACCCTAATTCTCCCTATGCCCCTAGTACTAGATTTAGATGTTAGCGTTAGATTTTATTGTCACCTGTGCTAGGTATAGGAATACATGAGTACAGTGAAAAGTGCACATAGTCACCATTTCCTGGCATTATCTGGGTTACAAAATCAGAATTAAATATTTAAAGGAGCCAAAAGGTAAAGGAAAAAAAAGGTCCAGATATCAAAAGCCAAAGTCCCATCTCCACAAATGTGCCTGGAACAGTCAGACAAGATGCAGGCACCTGGGCCCAGCTACAGCCTGGAATCTAGGCCAGTCCATGAATCCCAACCAGAGGAGCCGCGCCACTGCCAATGCCGCTGCTCCCAATGCCAGGGCACCCGGGGGTACGAAAGGCCCACTCTCGCTGCCGAATCGATCATCGATCGCCAGGAATTGGGGCCCGGGAGGAACCAAGACCTCCGCCACTTCACTGGCTCGTTCTTGCTGCCAACTCTGGCCCACGCTCGATCGTCCGGCCCATGTTCGATCCTCCAGCCCACGCGCGATTGTCCGGCCTGCGCTTGATCCTCCAGCCTGCGCTTGATCCTCTGGCCCACATTCGATCTCCAGCCCATGCTCGATCATCTGGCTCGCACTCTATTGTCTGGCTAGCGCTCAGTCTGCTGCCGTAGCTCCGGCCTACCCTGGATCCACTGCCGCTGCAGTACACGGCCTGTGTGTTCAGCTCCCGCCCCAGCCCTGTCTCCGGTCATGAGATGACTCCTTTCCTTAGGCAGGGTTTAAGTTAAAAGTTGGAGGGAGGCTGGTGGGGTGGTGGTGCGGAGGGTGGGGTGGTGGTTGTACTGCAGACAGAATCCCCAACCAGTTTATCTTTATCTACTGTCTTTTCCTGTTAATATCTTATTATGTTTTCAATCAGATCGCCCCCGAGCCCCCTAAAGTCTAGAGAAAACAGGCCTACTTTGTATAATCTCTCCACATAACTTAATCCCTGAAGTCCAGCTATCATTCTTGTAAACCTATGTTGTACTCCCTCCAAGGCCAATATATCCTTCCTATCTGGGGCCCAGATCTGCTCACAGTACTCCAAGTGGGGTCTAATCCGGGTTTTGTATAACCTCAGCATAATGCCTGCATCCTTTTACTCCAGTTCTCTAAATATAACGGCCAGCATTCCATTAGCTTCCTTGATTATTTTCTGAGATAACAAGGTGTAGAGCTGGATGAACACAGCAGGCCAAGCAGCATCAGAGGAGCAGGAAAGCTGACATTTCGGGCCTAGACCCTTCTTCAGAAAGGATGTTGCACCTATTCAAATTGGCAGGATGTGATCAGTGGTGTCCCACAAGGATTTGTGTTAGGGCTTCAATTACTCACATTATTCATTAATGACTTGGATAGTGGCACAGAAAATGCTGTATGCAAATATGCCGATGACACAAAGTTAGGCAATATTCACCTGACACTGTCCCCCTGCTCCCCCCTCACCACCCCACCCCCCACAAGTCTGTTTGGACATCCACTGTATTGAACTTCACAGCATCTAGAAAGTACCCTGATCTTTCATTTTTTGGTCTAAAATGAATAATCTCTCATTCTAGTTTACATTGAACTCCATCTGCCCACACTTTTTGCCCATTCACTTCATCTATCAATATCTCTTTGTAATTTTATGCTATCATCCACACTGTCTACAATATTGCCTAACTTTGTGTCATCGGCATATTTGCATACAGCATTTTCTGTGCCACTATCCAAGTCATTAATGAATAATGTGAGTAATTGAGGCCCTAACACAAATCCTTGTGGGACACCACTGATCACATCCTGCCAATTTGAATACTTACCCAATATCCCTACCTACTGTTGCCTGTCACTCAACCAATTTCCGAGCCATGTTAGTAATTTGCTCTCAATTCTTTGGGCCTCTAACATAGTTAACAGTCTCTTATGTGGGTCTTTATCAAATGCCTCTTGGAAATCCATAGAAATAACATCCATAGACATTCTCCAGTCCACTAACTTAGTTCCCTCTTCAAAAAATTTCAATGAGGTTTGGTAGGCATGATCTACTGGTCATGAATAGTTCTCCCTGATTCATTGAAAAATTTCAAGGTGTTCAGTTATCCCATCCTTGATTATAGACTCCGACAATTTTTCTAGCACAAATGTTAGTCCAACTGCTCTGTAATTCCATAGACTTCCTCCTCATTCTCCTTAAAAAGCAGAGTGACATGCTAAAAGGCAGAGTGATATTTAAAGCGAATGCATTTCAGAGCGCTAAACCCAAGCCTAAAAAAGGGTTAAAGAAATCAAAACAGTGCAGAATGTTGAAAAGAAATGGAAGTAAAATGAATGGATAGACTTGGGTTTGTTTATGTCAAAGATCCTTCATGGAATGCAGCAGCAGTGAGAGCGAGGACCAGGGGGCTGCCGGGAAGGTAAGTGAATCCTTTAAAAACTTACCTCGTGAATAGGCGGAGTGCACGCTGAGCAGGAGCGGACACGGGACGGCTGAGTAAGTGAGGTAACATATTTGGGTGGTTGCTTTACCCGAAACACTACGTAGGTAATGTCTCCCACCCATCCTCCTCTAACCAAAAAAAAAGTTCTGAGCGCCGATTTGGTAAGGTTACTAGTTTTTCTTTTTTTTCCAATAGTCTGTTTGGGAATTCAGAACAGTGGGAATGGATGTTAGGGCAGTTTCATGCTCCTCCTGTAGAATGTGGGAGGTAAGGGTCACCACTAGTGTCCCCACTGACTTCATCTGCGGGAAGTGCACCCAACTCCAGCTCCTCGGAAACCGCGTTAGGGAACTGGAGCTGGAGCTGGATGAACTTTGGATCATTCGGGAGGCTGAGGGGGTAATTGAGAGGAGTTACAGGGAGGTAGTCACTCCTCAGGTACAGGAAAAAGGTAGATGGGTTACAGTCAGGGGACGGAAAGGGAACAGGCAGACAGTGCAGGGATCCCCTGTGGCCGTTCCCCTCAATAACAAGTATACTGTTTTTGATACTGTTGGGGGGGACGACTTACCAGGGGTAAGCCATGGGATACAGGTCTCTGG